AGGTTCGGAACAACTTTTAAGTATTTACATTTTAGTCCCCGAACTTTGAATCCCTTACAATTTAGCCATTTCTCCAAATTTGTCAACTTTTGTTTATTTTCTTCGATCTCACCAACTTACATCACAACGTCAAAATCACACATCTAATTATTTATCAATTTCATAAATATTACATCATTAATTATTTAATTAACCAAAAAAAATTACATCTTTATTAATAACAAATTAATTTTTAAACAAAACTATTAAATATAAACTAGGCAAACGTGCATTGCACGTTGCTTGCACCTAGTTATTCTAAAAAACCACTATAAAAAATCAATTCTTCCAAAATTGGGGCTCGAACAAACACAAATTGAACAAAGATTTATAGTTTGTTCTTACTATATGATTATTCGGGACTCATGGCTTGCTCGACTATTGGGTCGTGCCTAGCTTCAACCACTCACGTTTGGATTGAAGTTCAATCTTTGTGCTTGGTTAACTTAGTATCGACTACGTGTATTCTGCATTTTGAACTTCCACGTTATCTCGACTATCAACATGACAATCAAGTCCAGTTTAGCCATCAAAAAACAATTTTTTAAATATTTCCACACAATAATTTTCACACGGTCTTTCCTTGTCATCAACAACCCATTCTTAGTTGATGCATCATTAAGGTTCTTAAGAATGATCATTGAATGTCAAAATATATGAATTATGGATAGCTTTATGTTTGAGAAAAGTAAAGACTACGGGAAAGATTGTCTCTGTATGTGTACAAGGACATGTTTCAGTCTGGGGTATAATTGTTGGATGTAACTCACACATTGCTTTTTTTCCAATTTAAGACAACTATATATATACCAACTTATAAGCTAAAACAATTATATAAAGACAACAAATAAATGCAAAATAGTCAAATACATATTATTATTTGTTGGGCAGCTTCCTAGTCAATTTTAATTCCTGTTGGAAAGGTGCATAGTTCTTTCACTAGTTTACGTATATTACTTTAACCTGAGGTTTCTTTACCACCCCCAGTGCATTGACTTTTAGTGAAATTTTTTATTGAGATTTTGAACTTAATTTTGTTTCAATTTGATTATTGAACTTTAATTTAATCTCAAATTTCACCAGTATGCCATAATTCGTTACCTTTAATTTATCTTATACTATATTAAAAGAGGATAGCTCTGCAACAGTGTTCCCGCCTAATTTTCCGCCAAGGAAGGGAAAAAAAATAAAGAAAAAGAAAAGAAAGAAAAAAATATCCCGCCCAAGAATCTTCAAACGCCTTAGCCTTCAAAATCTTCCACACAGCCATGCTTCTCCCAACCACCCACTCCTCTTCCATTTTCTCACGCAACCTCCGTTGCAAACTTCACCTTCCTTCCTTTCCACTTGCAAGGCAAATTCAGTCAAAAATAGATTTTTTCCTCCTAGAAGAATTTGGTAAACTCGTGCAGTTGGAACTTGTGTTTTGATTCATGAAATCGAGGAGACAATACTGGAAAATCAAAAGCCCAAGGGTAATGAAAGAAATTTTAAACGACGTAAGAAGAAATACCAAGTTAGTGAGTCAGACGATGATGCTCATTCATATAAAGTGAATGATGAAAATGGCTATTGTAATGGTGTCCTCAAAGAGAATAAAGACCAGAAAGCTGTTGCAAAGGACCAGATCTTCGTGAGAGAAATAAAACTTACCAGCCATCAAATGTGTAAGAAACTCTGCAAATTTTTGGTTTCTCCACACCCCTTGGAATTTTGTCCATTTTCTGTTTGTATTGTGATGAAGAAACATTATTTGCAAATTTTTGGGTTTACTACTATGACTTGGTTGTGTCAACCCACCAGAAAGATTTTGGTTTACAATGACATGAAAAATGAAAGTTGATCTCAAGGTGTTTGATAGAAGTCTTGAGTGACTTTGCATCTGTTTCTTCCATTTTTTTGTATAAAGGTTTGTTCCAAGAATATAAAATATCATTGACTTATTTAATCAAATTTGTTCCAAGATTTTGGACGTAATATTGATTACTAAGCTTTAAAATGTGAACCCAGTGGGCATGGGCATTCGGCGGCCAGATAGAAGTCAAAACTCGCATGGGCATTCGGCGACCAGATCCTCCGCGTGCGGAGGAACGTACGGAGGCACCTGGTGCCTCCGCAGTTTGCTGGTGCCTCCGCCAGATCTCCGCGTGCGGAGGTTGCGGAGGTTTGGAACCTCCGTTAATTTAAACATGCAAAACAAAGTAAAAGTCATGCAAAATAAGAAAATTACATACATGCGAATACTGAAATACATTAACAGAGTTACGCAAATTAAGCAACGAAACAAAAAGAAATAATTAATTCAGGAACCCACCTTTACTATGAAAGCTTTTCCTTTAAAAGGCCACTTTTGGAGTTGGGTTATAAGTACTCAAAAATTCCTCCCTAAAAGTGGTGAAAATTCTCACGGCTTTCTCATTCAATTTTACCCAAAAAAACAAGATTTCAATTTTCTTTGAGCAAAACAGAGCAAGATTCTAAATGGGTTTTCTCTATCACTCACTCACTCACTCTCTCTCTGTTTCTCTTTTTCTGCAGATCCAAGAAAGAAAATGTAAATGATCAAAGATTGGGTTTGAAAAATAAAAGTACTAATGATTGTAAAGAAAAACCAAACACATCTTCATATAATTTTACATATACCAAAATTACATATGCATGTGTATTTCTGGGGTAGAAGTGTATATACACACTGATGAATATGTATGTATATGTATATATGTATTTAGCAGAGTGTCAACAGTTTGTGTGTGGGAGAGAGAGAAGAGAGAGCGAGAGAGTTCATTATTTGGAACGAAATAGGTGGAGAAAGTAAAGGAATATTGGTATTAATTTAATAAAAATAGCATATTAAACCACATTTGTATGTTAATTTAATTTGTGTATTTATATATTGGCAATGTTCCAATAAAGTCACCAAATTTTAGTTTTATTTCAAATCCAGACATTCGGTTAGATGGCGTTAATAAATGATAGGATTTGCCTGTGTATATTAAAATTAGACGGAATGCCACATCTATTCTATTTACTATATTAAAGAAGGATAGTTCCGCAACAGTGTTCCCGCCCATAATTCTGACCTCCATCCCGTCCAAGATAAAAAAAAAATCTGTTTCTTGAGTGAGAATACATCTCGACTCCCGCCCAGATTTTTTTAATTGAATACCGCCCAAAATTTTGAATTCAATCCCGCCCAACCAAAAGGCTTACTCCTTTTGCAGAGCTACTGTGAATAATTACTAATATGCAAGTTTCTGTGGTTTAATATTTGTCAGGTTCTGGATGAATACCAAAAGAATGTCGGCGATTCTTGGAAAACTGTGCAAGCTGATAACACTGGAGATGGTATTGATTTAAATGATGCTCTAACTAAATTTCAGGTATATAAGGTCTCTATTATGTTATTGGGTTAGAAAATGGATATGTTTTCACCTGTCAACTTAATTTGTTTATGCTTCGACTCTTCAGGACGGTAAGGGCAACAACTCAAGCGCATCTCAAAACCTGGAAGAAAACCAAAGCCTTCTTGATGGTAAGCGATACAACTTGCTTCAGAATTATCCGGTGATGAAAATTCACATTTGGGCTAAATATCATGACTTATTTGTCCTTTTGTTCATTTTCTTTGAAGTGGATATTTCATTTTTGTCGCTCATGTCCATGTTGTAAAAGAGAACATGTCCCCAAAAAAAAATATCATCAAAAAATAAATGGATTTCATAGGTCTTATCCTAACTAACATGATAATCTCATGCTAGATATGACTGGGATGCTGCAACAGCAACTAACTCTCAATTAGCATATGTTCACTTAATATAAATTTGTGCATCGCACGGGTGAAAGACGAATGATATGAAAAGTATTTTGAAAGTAAAAAATACTGTTTAAAATTATGTGCCACTTTTTCTTATTAAAAAGTGACACAATATTAATTTTTAAAGTTAAATATCACTTTTTTATTTAAAAAGACATACAATATCACTTTTATTTAAAAAAATGATATTTTTCACTCAAAAGAGTGACAGCAAAAAGTAATAAACACTAAAAAAAGTGACAACAATTAAAAAAGGTAACAAATACTCAAAAAAATACAACACACTCAAAAAGTGGAAAAAATTCAAAAAAGTGTCAAAATACCAATTAAAACTTGGAATAGTTTAATTAAGTGACACAACCACCATTCCTCTTCTTTTTTCATTCAATGTCAAGTATCTTTAAATCAATTCAACGACACTGTCATCTACCAACGGAACCAACCCATTGACCACCTCCACTTAATGAAGATCCCAACACGAGAACAAGTTATAACGTTTTATTATATTAAACCACATGTGACTTGTTTGCTATGCAGCACAAGTATGTGATGTTGGAACTTTATTGAAACTTTAAACTTTATGAATTTGCCAAGATCTTCATGTCAACCATCAAGAAATTGAATTAACGCGGAACATACCTTAATCCATTGATTTCTGACTTAAATAATGAATCTTGAATCTTGATCTGTAAATCTTCAATTTGGTTGCTTCAAACCTCCTTCTTAATTTTTGATTGTAGGTTTATAGATATTCTTGTGTTGATGGGATGTC